ATTGCAGAGTTATCGCATTTCTCATGCTGTAAATTATAAACATTTCTGTTTTTTAAATCATCTCAGTGTTTGTTCTTTCAGGTCAAAAGAAAATGCTGTAAATAATGTAACCAAAATGTGTCTATCATGTCATTTATGGCTGCAGCTTTTTTTGAGGGGTGGCTTCCAAGTGGTATTCAGGAAGCCCGGGGAGCCCTTGCTTTTGATGATTTTCAGTAAACCAGGCCAGCAGCTCAATGCAAGGGCCAATGCTCAGGCAAGTATTTGGCTGTGCTCAGGAAACATGTTACGCTGGAGATGGAACAGGGATCAGCCAAATACAAGGTGTTTGCCTTAATCCCTGTACCATCTCTACAGCTCCTGGGGTCTTAAAAAACAATTAAATTTTTTTTTATTTAGCATGTTTGTGTGTGCGTGTTTCTAATAGTTTAGGTAACATGGTTACAATAGTGACTGCATCTCATCACCATTCCCAAAGTGCCCAAGACCTTTTTGGCTGTTCTTATACCACTCTAATCTGCTTCTTCCAAACTACCCCTCCCATCACTTGATAATTGTTCTGCAATAAGAACAAGAGTGTGTCATTATTAATACTGTCTGTTCCCTTGTTTTGTTACCCTATATACCACAGATGAATGACATCATTTAAAAAAAGTTGTCCTCCCTCTGACTCATTTTACTTAACAATTTGCTGTAAACTGCATGATTTAATCTTTTTGGCCGGACCAGAGAGATAGTGCATTTGCCTTACGTGCAGTCCATTGAGGTTCCATCTACAGTGTCCTATATAGTATATTCCAACTTAGATTTCTGAGTTCAGTCAGGAGTAACCCCTGAGCACTGCTGGGTATAGCCCAAAAACCAACCAAACAAATCAGTCTTTTCTTGTAGTTGCATAGTAGTGTGTGTATGTGTGTGTGTGTGTCTTTGTATGTTTGTGTGTGTTTGTGGGTGTGTATAAAGAAGTCTACCACACTTCTTTATCCATTAATCTGTCCTTGGGCATTTGAGATGTTTCCATATGTGGGGCTATTGTTTTTAGTGCTGTAATGAATGTAGGTGAGAATATATCTTTTTGAATTAATGTTTCTTTATATTTTGAGGGTAAGAGTTGTGTTTGTGTTTGCAATTTTGTGGCCCGTTAGAATTGTTAAGAAATTCAGTCCTATAAATGTAGCATTATCTGTAGCACTGTCCTCCCGTTGTTCATCGATTTGCTGGAGCGGGCACCAGTAACATCTTCATTGTGAGACTTGTTACTGTTTTTGGCATATCAAATACACCATGGGAGCTTGCCAGGCTCTGCCATGCAGGCAAGATACGCTCAGTAGCTTGCCAGGGTCTGCAAGAGGCTCTGGGCGGAGGAATCAAACCTGGGTCAGCTGCGTGCAATGCAAACACCCTACCAGCTGTGCTATGATAAATCATTCTCTTCAAGTTTAGTGTTAGAATAATACAACAGTGGAATATCACAGGTTTTGAAATCCAAAAATTCAGTTTAAATTCTAGTTATTTATTGAAGTAACTTACTAAAATTAGTAACTTACTAAGATGATAATAAATAGTTTCACTTAAATATTAGCTTAGTAAAATGAGATAATGAAGCAGTGGACATGGGTTTTATCCCTGACATCACATATGGTCCCCTGAACACTACCAGGAGTGATCTCCAAGAATAGAGCCAGGAGCAAACCCTGAGCACCGCTAGGTGTGGCTCAAAAACAAAACAAAGAATTAAAAATAAAAAATAAGATAAATAACCAAAGTTATATTACCTCCCTTCTCTGAACCTCAGTTTCCTCATCAAGACTTCATTGAATTCTGCTACAAAAGACAGTAATTGGTCTATGAGATTCTTGTTTTTAATTTCTTCCACTTCTATGTTGAAATCCCATAAAAAATAACTTGTTCCATTAAGCTTAAGAGATATACTTAAAGTAAAACTGCTTTTCAGATCACTGTCACTGTCACTGTCCTCCCTTGTTCATCAATTTGCTCGAGCGAGCCCAATAACATTGTGAGACTTGTTACTGTGTTTGGCATATCGAATATGTCATGGGTAGCTTGCCAGGCTTTGCAGTGTGAGCAGGATATATTCTATAATTTAGCTTGTTAATAATTACTGATTTTGTCAAGTTAACCTAGTCACTACATGATTAAGTGTAGGTATCAAAACGTATCAATATAATGTTGCTGTTGTTTTTGGTTATGTTTGTGAAGCGTGACAATTTTCTTTGTAGATATTGAGTTGCTTTCTTTAGAATATATAAATTCTGAATTGAGAACTTCATTTAAACCATTCAGTATAGGCGCATATTTCCCCATCTCCTCTCTGAGTGGTACACTGTTAAACTCTAGGGCACATTTCCTTATTCTGGGAAAATGGACCTCCCTTCTTGGGAGGTATATATACTTTGCCTGTTTTTCCACTCTGGAGACACCCATCTTCTCTCTGGAGCACATTTCACTCTCTCCTTTTATTTCCTAAAAAAATAGTTTTATTTCACACACACACAAAATCACTCAGTATAAAAACTTAATGATGTCTAATCAGTGTACCCAGTTTATCCTAATTATTTAAGCCTAAATATTTAAAATGTATTTCCTTCAGGTACTCTGTATTTTTCAAAGAAAATAATGTAATTTTAAATTCTAATTTTGTTTCCTTAAAAATAAAACACAATGTTTTTATTCACTTTTGTGATTAAATTGGATATATTTCCATATGTTTTCCTGGCCAATTTCTGAACAATTGTCACATTAAAAGGACATAAGGAGCACTTGCGATTTTATAAATGCTTTGATTTTCTGTATAATACCATTGCATTGCCACTACTCTAGGGAATTGAGTAAGACTTGAATGCCTTTGCTCTCTTAGGCAATTTAGAATGTCCCAGACCTTGCTCTAGATGTCAAGATTGTTGAAGTTCAAAGCAGATGTGTGGGGAAGAAAAACATCTGGTGAAGAGAACTTGCTTCATCGTGTGATGCTATTTTCCTGCACTCTTTAGCGGAGAGTCTGTTGAGCAGGTTGGCAGGTCTGAAAATTAATTAAATGATATGGGAATGAGCCATGTATCTGAAGAACACGCTTTCCACCCTCACTGTTTCATTCTTATCCTCGTGACTGGCAAAGCCGTCACAGTCTAAGGTCATTGATCCCACAGTTGTATCTCAACTCAAACACTTGTCTTCAGGCTTAATTAGTTCAGAGCTATAAACAGACAGATGATCTGGGACCCAGAGGGCTCAGTGTTGAGCAATGCAATTTACGATCAGAGACATTTGAATTTTTTTGTAGAGAAATTGTATCAAAATTTTTATAAATGCCTTTTTTATGTATATCTCTGTGTGAGTATGAATTTTGGGGGAGGGTAACTTTTTAGTTAGATGTTACATCAAACTAGAGGAAAAGAAAAGTGGAAAAAATTATGTAAGGGACATCTATGATTTCTTAACTCAGATACACTTGTTTTATATTTTCCTTCACTTGCTTTTCCATTGGCACTCCCTCCTCATCTCCTCCTCTTTATACACACACAGTATACACTGCCTCCTTGAGCTATTTGAAAACAGAATGGTGGGCTGGAGTGATAGCACAGCAGGTAGGACATTTGTCCTGCACGCAGCTGACCTAGGTTCGATTCCCAGCATCCCATGTGGTCCCCCACGCACCACCAGGAGTAGTTCCTGAGTGCAGAGCCAGGAGCAACCCCTGAACATCACTGGGTATGACCCAAAAGAAAAAAAGAAAAAAAAAACAGAATGGCAAAATCAGGCACCTTTATGCCTAATACATTTAAATTTTTTTAGGGACCAAGGCAGCCTTCCAATAATGGTAGTAAAGCTATAGTTAAAATGATAAAAATTTAATGCTGATGCAATGCTATTTTCTAATATAGTCCCGTTCAAAATTCCATCAGTTATTGTAGTGCATCTGTCTGCTGCTGGTTGCAGACTCCCTACCAGGATGTTGCCCTCAGTGTCTCTTAAATGGGAGTCTGAGTATTGGGGGTTCTCTTGAATATCGTGTTGATTAAGCCCTTATTTGGGAATGTTTGTTTCAATCTTTTGGGTAAGGTAATAGTAATAAAGTAATAGTGAACTTTACTTTTCCACAGATTTCTTATTAAAGTATAAGTTCAGTGTTAAAAAATATAACAGGCCCTACCTTACTCAAATGAGTTGATACTATATAAATAATTTGTTCCATTTTCAAATTTTCACCCCCTGTGTTTTTCCCACTGTACTGGTTTCCGGTTTCTTCTATATTTGTTGATTGGCTTTGTGCTGCAGGGCACAGCTTTCTCTTGTTCCCTGTTTATTCCTTCCTTTGATTAGTGCAGACTCATCAATTCTTATTTTGTTCACTAGTAGTAGTTCACTACAATCGTTTTTTAAATTTTCTGCTTAGACTGGCACAGAGTTAACCTGAAGGGACTCTCTTCAGTCTGATCTCTGGGTCTTTTGGATACATTTTCATCATGCTTTGAGTACTTCCTTACTTTCTGGTATGATAAGGTATTACAGGTATATTTTATATTTTTGTGTGAGTCCTAGCCCTAGGATAGACATTTCTCCAAGACATTCTATTTCCTTTTTACAAATAACAGTGCTAAGAAACCAAGGTATGTGTGTGTTTTATAAAGGAAACTTAAGTTATGGAATATTGCATTTACTAAATCATTGTGTTCTATGTGCATTAGCATATGTGCATACATGTCTGAGTTTAATGTTACAAAGTTTCAAGTAGAAGAGCATTCACTTTATATGTAATAATCATAAGTTTTGACAAGAAAAATACATTTTTCATTACACAGTAAATGGCATTACACAGTTTTGAGTACTAAATCATCTTGACATTTATGAAGGAGCAAATGGAAAATAGGGAACGGAGTCTGTAAAATATAAAGCTATCTTTAACTGTTCTACTAAAAAAGCAAAGATTTATTTTCCATCTGTGATCTGAATGCACCTATTTGTGTTCTCTTCCACTGCAGTGGAATTTCTCTGGAGCCATACAACAGAGAGCATGTGTGTTGGATATATGTCAGCCCAGGACGGGAAGGCCAAGGTAAGCGGGAAGACTGGAGTAGAACCTGAAAACTTTGCAGCTATCACACGAGACTCAGACTGTCCAGGTTAACAAGAATGAATATTTTTAGCCTCACAGGCAGTAACTCAATGATCTTTATGAGACTCTAATTAAGAACAGTTAATGATCTCAAAGAAAAACAGATTTCTTTTGTTTGTTTTGATGATAGAGTAGGGGAGGACTCGAGGAAGGGGGGAAACCTTTTATTTTGTTTTTCATCTTGTTCCATTTTTTTTCTATTGTGAATAATTGGAAAGGAAACTGGAAGTTGGGAAAAGAACATGGGAAGAAGTTCATGGGCTGACAAGTCTGGGTGACTTTGCAAAAGTGTCCAAATAGTAGGGTGGAGCCATAGTACAGCGGGTAGGGCATTTGCCTTGCACACAGCCGACCTGGGTTCAATCCCCAGCATCCCATATGGTTCCCCAAGCCAGGAGTATTCCTGAGTGCAAAGCCAGGAGTAATCCCTGAGCATTGCTGGGTGTGACCCAAAAAGCAAAAAAAAAAAAAGAAAGAAAGAAAAAAAAAGTGTCCAAATTAAAAAGGGAAAACAAGGGCAATAATACTGAATGCCTGGACTGCATCCTGCACCGAGGGGGGAGGGGTGACCAGCATGCTAGTAAGGTAGTAAGGATGGCTTGACGTGTTCAGCATGGAGTCCTCATGAGCAGTGTCTGGATGTGACAAGCATCCCTACGTGAGTCACAGAAATCACATAGGCATCAGCACAGCTCCTCCTGAGCTGCCTGACTTCCCTGGGCTTTCAGTGGTTGAGCTGAGAAATAAGGAACGTAGTTTCTGGATTTTATTTTTTACTGGCCTCATGTTCTTTTTGTTCATAAAATTTTTAAATAGCTGTGGAATATGTTGTTTACTTGGTATTAAAGCACCTCCATTGCAAAGCAGTGAAGTTGGACAGCCAGCCTCTTTTTTGAAGGAGATGATTTATTTTCACACACACAATCACAAATCATCCTGTTAATCGTCGATTGCCTCGAGCAGGCCCCAGTAACATCTCCTTCATCCTAGCCCTGAGATTATATTTAAGGCTCTTTAGGAGAATGAGACCCATCATTTTTACTGGTATTTGGCATATTGGGTACGCCACGGAGAGTTTGCCAGACTCTGCTGTGTGGGCAGGCTACATTAGGTAGCCTGCCAGTTTGTCCAAAGTAGGAATGAGATAATAAGGTGTCATAATAAGATGTCGCACAGCCGCGATCGCGGCCGCGTGGTTCCGGGAGCTGGTTTTTATAGTCTCTGAGTCTTGGCCGTTGATGGGATTACACGGCGCCAGGGGGCCAGTTGGTGGGTGTTACACACTGGGAAATAGAAGTAAGGCAACTTCTGATATAAGCTGTCTGATATGGATTGAATCTTTAACCAATTAAGAATACCTGTGAGCAAGAGTAGTTTATTGCTATTTATCACTTAACATCTTTCTAGGCTGATCTGTGTTATCTGGAAAATTAGTAGCATCTTGGGACTCCTGTGAGTGTAGTGAATGGGAACAAGAAGAATAACTACTTAATCAGACAAGAAGTAGTTTGCATTCATGAAAATATTACTGCATCCCTCTCCCGTTTGTCTCACTCTCACCTAACACTGTATTCATACTGTATTGGTAGACTTAAAAGAGAATGCATAAAGCATGCTATCTTTTAGAGTTTTTCTTAAAGAGAAGAGAATTATAATTATCCATTTTAGTGGTGTGTTAGGAGTGGAGCGATAACACAGCAGGTAGGGCGTTTGCCTTGCATGCGACCTACCTGGATTCGATTCCTCCACCCGTCCCGGAGAGCCCGGCAAGCTACCCAGAGTATCCCACCCACACGGCAGAGCCTGGCAAGCTCCCTGTGATGTATACAATATGCCAAAAAACAGTAACAAGTCTCAAAATGGATACGTTACTGGTGCCCGCTCGAGCAAATAGATGAACAATTGGAGGACAGTGCTAAAGTGGTGAGTTAAGGATTTAGAGCAAGACTAATAGAATTTTTTGTGATGATGGAAATGTTTTTTATTTGTTCGTGTTCTGTTGTCCAGTAGGATAACACCAGCTACATGTTGAACTCTTAAATTATGACTAGTAGGCCTGATGAAAGAATTTTATTTGTCTTCTTAGTTTAAATTTAAACAGCTGCATGTGGCCAGTGGTTACTGTATTAAATAGAAAATTTTTAAATAATAAATGGAGAATGATTGTTCAAATAATTATTTTTAGAGCATTATTTCCAAAGGCAAATGGTTCTCACTCATAAAATAAGCCTGATAAGCCATAAGAAGCCATTCTTGCACAAGAATGGCTTGAAGCCACTAAATTTCTCTCACCTCTTACATATTGACTGTGAGCTACAATTTCTTTTTAACAAAAGAATTTCTGTGAGGTGGACTTTAGTATCTAAGTCAATCTGGTGGAGTAAGGTCTTGTTATTAAAACCATTTTGTGGAAATGTTCTTGTTATCCCTGCTGGTAGCCTGTGGAAGATACCATGCTATTAAACATGAAATAAGGGTCATAAGCAGCATAGAAAGTCCTGCATTGAGCCCAGAAATTTGCCTCCAATTGTGTTACTTGACATCTGGTGGACATGGTTTTCATATTCTTGGTAAATTCTCCAGCTGGTAGTCTTGATTGGGCCAACTGATACAGCTGCTCCACTTGCCACACTTGTAAATTATGTTTTTGACCTTCCTTGCAGAGTTAATCCCTCTCTCTTTCTTTCTCCTTTGAGCTTGTAGCTACAAATGCTTTAAGAAAGAAAGAAAGAAAGAAAGAAAGAAAGAAAGAAAGAAAGAAAGAAAGAAAGAAAGAGAGCCTCAAATACTAATGCTTTGGCTTCTGAATTCTATTGATCTAAAAAAAAAACCCCATCTCTTCAGTCATGAAGTCTTGAATTTTATTGTATTGCAAGTAAGGCAATGGTCAGAGATGAGAAGTTATGCTTAAAAAAGTAAAAGGCCTATGACAAAATTTGTTGTCTTTATTAAAGAGTAAGTCTTTGATCTATTTTCATGGTTTACTTACTTCTGTGAAAGAGTTGAGTTAGTGACATATCCATCCAGCATGATGACTGGTTTTTAAAACATCTTTTCAAATAAAACTGAACACCATATAGCAAAAGTGATTAAGAAAAGAATTTAATTTCTTAAAAATAATTAAGAAATTTAAAACTAATTTTTTTCTTAATTAAGAAACTTCTAAATTTAAAAAAATTCAAATATTTCCTTCTTCCTGCTTGTTACCAAACTAGAAACTAAAGCTAGCTGACCATCTGAAAATTTCATGTAGTCTGGCTGTGTTTAACCCAAGTTAAAGTCTTGAATTAAAAGTCCCCCAAAGTCACACTACTTAGAAAACAATGGATAATAATTATCGTTGTAAGCAGAATTCACATGTACTTTGGCTAAAGATATTTTTTTCTTACAAGTTTCTTTTTTGTTTCTGAAAGTATGTTCTTATAATTATATTATTTATTTTCTAATTCCCTTCTGTAGCATAAGTTCGAGAGATTCATTTTTATTGAATCAAATTGGATTTTTTTTAGTTCGGTTTAAAGTTAGATTGCCTATAACCTATAACCTAGGTAGAAGATAGTTAATGAACAGTTTTTACTAATCTACCTGTAACCTAGGTAGACGATAGTTAATGAACAGTTTTTAATAAACATCATTGATAAATGGATAAACACAGATTACTATAATAAAATCAGATGTTAAAACTGAAATGGAACTTATTCAAGTAATAAGCAAAACCTAGGTCTTTTTATATGTGGAAGAAGTCACTTTTGTAGCAATAGTGAAAAAATAACTGTTATAAGAACTCATCCTTGAGGAAAAGAAGACCATTTTATGATCTTAAAGTTTCTTGCTACAGATTTCCTATTAGTTTTAGGGAAAAATAAATTTAAGTATAAGGTATAGGCCCTCCCGTTGATCGTCGATTTGCTCGAGCGGGCCCAGTAACGTCTCCATTGGAGACTTTGTTGTTACTGTGTCTGGCATATCGAATACTCTCGGTAGCTTGCCGGGCTCTCCGAGAGGGGCGGAGGAATCGAACTCGGGTCGGCCATGTTGGCCGCATGTAAGGCAAACGCCCTACCCACTGTGCTATCACTCCAGCCCTCGATTTGCTCGAGCGGGCCCAGTAACGTCTCCATTGGAGACTTTGTTGTTACTGTGTCTGGCATATCGAATACTCTCGGTAGCTTGCCGGGCTCTCCGAGAGGGGCGGAGGAATCGAACTCGGGTCGGCCATGTTGGCCGCTTGTAAGGCGAACGCCCTACCCGCTGTGCTATGATGGAGAAACCAGGAAACAATTTGACCAGGTGATCAAAATTAATATCGCCATGAAGTGATATTAATGAACATCACATGCCTTTAGATGTGATAAACTGAGAAAGACACAACATCATATTTGTAGGATTGCATCTGGAAGTGTGTAGGTTAACTATGAGCATAAGGAAACACCAGATGGATCTAAAATCAGGGGCATTCTGTAAAAACAAAAAAAAGAGCAATAATCTTTAAAAAATATTTAATGTCATAAAAGACAAAGTATATAAAAATATTTCAAACCAAACAATAATAAGGAGTTGTGACAAATAAATGCAATCTTTAATTCTTTACTGGATGCTATATATAAGATGGAAGCAAATGTTAAATATGTTACTAAGCCATTTTATAAAACTAGACTATGAGTAGCAAAATTTCATCATTGTTAATTTTACTTGTTATAACTGTATTGTGTCATTTAAGTAGATATCCCTATTTTTAGAAACCACACTGAAATATCTGCTGATAGAGGGTCATAATATAATATCTTCTCAGTGGTTCATAAAAAAATATGTGAATGGTTGGAGAGATGTATGCAGAGAGGAAGGGTTAGATGGACAGATGACAATTTACTGAGCAAATTGGTGGGTCAAAGAGATAGTAAAAAAGTAAATCAATCAAAATGTTAACAGAAAATAAACTT